TCCTGTACACCCGTCCCTTAAGTTTAAGAGAAATCCCTTTGAGACGCCAAAGATGTCTCAAGTCATGGAAGGTTGCTCTGGCCTTCGAGATTCTCGCATCTATTTCACGCAACTTCCCAAGTAAGTGAAGTGATCCACCACGCTCAATTCCTCGTTTCCCAGCACAAGGGGCGACGCTAGTAATTAATTCAATATAGCTGTTCCAATATGCCCATCAAAAGTTCAATTTTATGAACATGCTCCAAACAGAAAATCGCTTCAGGCACAAGTAACTAACACCTTAATAGTCAAAATGGCAGAAAGAAAAATGTTCAAAGAGAAGGTTAATAAAGAAAAATAATCCTTACATTTTGGTGGTCCAAAAAGAACTATATCCATTGCTTTTAGTGCCAATTTCTGTCTATGAATAGCATCATTTATACCTAAAACAGATGTTAGGAAGTTTACATCATTCGCTGCCATCCTAAAATGCAAAAAAAAAAAAAATCATCGTATTAAAGTATTCTTTTAAAATTTCATACCCTAATTTTTTAATAATACAAGTTTTATTTATTATAAAAACTTAAAAGTATTTGATTTTGTGAGATTAAAGCTGCATAGCTATGTATTTAATTTTTTTTTATCATTTCTAAGAATGTATGAGTGAAAACAAAGAAGAACATGTTAAAAACACCATATCAGCCTTATACAGTGCTAATGATGCCTTTCACTCAATACTAGGGCTCATCAGGCCATATTGGAAATGACAAATATAGCATTGGTTTTGACACTATTTACATCATCAATTGCTTGAACAACAATGATGTAAAGTCAAATGAACAAGTGAAGTTTAATTGGTATCAATTTAAGTCATTTACAAATCAGAATTAGGGTAAGGCTTAATAATACAAAATATTATTTGCTTACTTTTTAACCAATTATCTATTATTATTAGTTTTATTTGAATTAAATTTATTATCCTATATTATGTATGACTGACTTAGAAAATATTAAAGAAGATGCAATAAAACTTGTCTAACCAGCAAGTTTATAAAAACTACTGACTCTTTTTCCAATAAATATGACCATAAACATTTTAAAATGTCTAAAGAAATTACATGTACAACACAAAATGTCATTTACCTCATACAGTGTAAAAAATGTATTCGCCAGTATGTAGGACAGACCCAAACAACTCTTAGAGAGCATTTCAACAAACATAAATATTAATACCAAAAAAAAAGACCTTCCTATTGCTCAACATTTCAATCAGCCTGTTCATTCTATTAACAATGTAACTCTCATTGGCAATGAAACCGATTTCAAAACTAAAGCTGATGGAGAGATAAGAGAAGCCTATTGGACTGTAACTTTAAATACTGTTCAACCTTGTGAAATAAATCAAGATCCTGGAATCAATGATTTCCAATCAATAGTTTGTTCTCTGTCAGAAAAATATATTTTTTGTCCATGTAGTGTGAATTCTCAACTTTCATCCATAATCTTTCTAATACTTATTATTTATTTAAGACAATTTCCATGTAATATTTTTAATTATATTTGTTTCACATTTCTTTATATGCAATCTTCATATCTCACTTTTATTTTATTTTATCAGCACTCAGTGTAGTTTCTATTGACCATTTTTCTTTTTTTAGCAATGCATCTCTAACTTCGTTATACCTACCATTCTCGTTTCTGGTAGTATTGCACCGGAAATGAGACCCACTTATAACAATACTTTAAAAGCTACTCAAAACACTTCTGCATTTCCATGGTGGCCTGCCAGTTATTCTAAACATTTCCATTTACCCATTTATATATATTGTATTAAAATTGATTGAGACAAATATAATAGTTAACTTTTATATCTTTTTTTATTACAAGACTAATACCATAGGAAAGTTCATGATGTTAGAAAACATGTAGATTCAATAACTCAATTTTACACAAAAATAAGATACCCTGTAACCTGAGAGCTTTGGAAAGGTGAACCTTTCTTCTTCAGGGCCAAGCTGGGAATGATCATGTAAAGCAAAATGTGAGATAAAGCTCAACATTTTGAGATCCTTATTGATAAACAAATATTTACCTTGGCAAAGCAGTTCCATTCACATTATTTTCTTGAAAACTCTGAGCATACTGAGGCAGATCAACATAAGTCACTAACCACTGGACTATTTCATCTACTGTCCAGTTATGAACTGGAATAGAAAAAAAAACGTATATGAAAACACTAAAGGATTACAATTTATACTTTTACCCTCCATTCCTATCAATGTGGTATATTAATATATCATGTATTTCTATCTTATAATATTATAGAATTTATTCTTTGTTCTGTACTTGTGCAAGTTTCATAAAACATGTTCAAAGAAAAGCCATTAAGTTGATTTCATTCTATCTGCCTTAGTTAGTCTCGAGTGAATAATACCTGTTCTACCTGGAGTGAATATTGCTGCAATGCTGCACATTTGTCAACTGCAGTGTTCTTCAGGTAATATCTAGAGATTACAATCTCACCTATACTGTATTGAAAATAAACAGTCACGTGGGTAGCACTAGTTGCTCTGGGTAAATGTGACATTTCTTGCAAACTAAGGAAAGTTAGATTTAAACAGTCTGGAATAGAATACTAAAGAGTAAGTAGTTGATAGAATCCAGGAGGAGTGAGAATCCATTGTGCCATAAAACAAGTACATACACTGTGTTTGTGTTTCAATAAAGGCTGAAAATTTTGTATTTCACTTTCTGCCACAACTCATATTTCCATTTAACACTACTGCTCAGTTATTCAGAGATTTAATGTTACTTCATAAATAATATCTTGTCCAAACTTCCTGTAATTAATGGATCTATTCTATTACTCTAAGGTTAACTCGGTTTTTCCAGAATATACCATAGAGTGATTAGGAAGGAGAATATTTGCCTTGGCTGAAGGATTTTGTATTGTGGAGTTTGATATTTATGCTGAATTGTATACTGCCCTTTACTTGAATTATTATGCTCCGAGTCTAAAAAGGCTTCTCAGCGAAAGGAAATGACTTTTTTTTTTTCCACAACTAGAATGACTTATGATCAAAAAAGAGTGGGATACTGTTGTACAAGAAAGTTGTCATGTCTAGGAGAATGGTTTATGGAGTAGTGGTGAGTCCCTTCAAGATAAGAGGTACACTACAAAAACAACCATGTATCACATGAAACCTTGGGTCTGAGAGAACTGATGGATGAGCTACCAAGCCAAACTCATTGTTCTACATCCTATTGCAGGGGCCAACCACTCATCCAAATACTAATATCCCCAAGTATGCCCACCACATTGTACCCCAACATTTAGAATTTCTCAGCCTTGTGTTGGCTGACAGTCCACAAGAAAGAGATTTATAACAACCTCACAGTTCCCTGCTTGTAATGCTAAGCAGATTTCTTCCCTGACATTTATGGATACAGTAAAGCAGTTTAAGGAAGTCTAAACCACTCTCTGGAATGAACTGATTCAAGAATAGGCAGTGCAATGCCTGATTCTGAGTCCCTATGGTTCAGTGCTTGATTAGATTAAGCAGTTGGATAAGGAGGAAAGAGTCAAGAGAATTTATATGGCTTTTGAAGGTGAGCCAGATGAGTAAGTGCTGGGTTTAGAAGCAAGAGAAAGCTTCAGAAATTGGCTGAGTCACAAATGATGGCCTCCTGATCAATATGGCCGAGATTAAACCCAATAATACAAATCTAGGGCAGTCACTGTTGTAGAGATCAATAACTGAAAGGAAGTAGCAATCCTTACATTCCAAGCTACCTTGTGATGTACACCATACAATTTATACATGTGTGTGATTTCCTCTTGGTCACCACAGAGCTATGACAGTCATTAGATTGAGAAAAGAAAAAAAAAAAGACTGAATTGAAATAGCTTTCCAAGCTGTTGGGTGGTATTGTAAGGTACAATGTATGCATTACATTTTATGATTACTGCTCAATAATCAAGAGCTAGGTCAGTCATTTGGTTAAAAACTAATTACTGAAAGGGGTGTCAATCCTTTCTTTACAAGCTATCAACTGATGTTCATCAGAAAAGGTATGTGCTAAATTGTGTAATTTCCACAGAGAATACCTCATACTCCTTGCTAGATCTTTTCCTGTATACCTGAAAGGCATATAACTTTTCCATTTGCAGTAAAGAAGTTGTTTTTCATCAGATTGTATATTGATATATACTATAGTAAAAGGATGCATACTAATCCTGACCTATGAGAATTTTAGCTCAAGTGTTAATTCAGCTGAATACTGTCTGTGATTATTTTCAGATTCCTGAAAAGACAAAGGTGTCAGCACTTTACTAGACCAAAGTTACTGAGCATTAGCTCAGAAAGTAACCCGAGACAGTTAATAAGAAATTTATGTGGGGGCTGGAGGTATTCTATTGTAAGCTAGAAGCATATGTGACAACATGCAATGGAGATACATGTACACAGTAACATATGTGTCTAAATAAATATTTGTATATGGCCCCACATGTACACAGGAACATTACATGAATTCATTCATGAGTGTTGCATAATGTAAATGAATCAAGTACACAATGAACACAACTACTAAACCCTATATGAATAGAAATAAAAGGATTTGCGCTGGATGTTAACTATGATTACTAACTTGTAAGGTATTATTTGAAGATACAGTGCACCTGATATTTTCATTAATACTTGTGAGAGAGAGTTTCAATTTCAGCATTGAAATATTTGGCAGGAAGTGAATTTTTGATGAGAGGAAAGAGTAATGGAGAGACACATTGTTTTGCCTATTAGTTTTTGGTAAGAGTATTGAGTATTTTGATTGGATTAAATTGAAATGTCTAAAAGTAGGTGAAATTAACAGTTTTATTTCATTGTGGTAGAATATTTTCAATCATGCCAATTAAAATCTTTAGTAAACAGCACAATTTTCTAATTATTTTCTTAACATTTTTTCAGTACAAGGTGCAGTATGAAATGGATGAAAACTTGGCTGTAAGTGTACCAGGGGAGGTGGAAAGTAACACCGTTATAGTAAAACTTTGTAAATTGCATTATAACTACTACTAAACTTGTAACTGGAAAAAGGTCTCTAAGACAAGATATAGTGATGGTGATAGAAACCTTGACCAACTATAAGATAAGGATATATTAATAATTTATTGTAAATTAAACTACACATAATTTGATATTTATGCTTAATTTTATTTTTAGATTAATGTTCTGTCTCTAATACACAACTGTTTGTAGGAGATGGAACATTAATTTTGTTATAGCTTCATGCACTAATAATGAACTCCATCTTTTTGTTCATTTTGTTCAATCCTTTCACGTCTTCTATTTCATTTCTTGACATAAATATTTCTGCGACAGATGATGGCAATATCACGACATCTGTACATTACAAACTGATGGACACACATAGCTACTTATATTTTCATTCCAGTCATGCTCAATATATCAAGAGAAACATTCTGAAATCACAACTCACCAGATTGCATAGGCTGTACAGTAATGATCAAGATTATAATAGCAAATCAACATGTCCCAATTTTTCGAAACTTCTCTTCTTCATCACACTAAAGATAATCTACATACTAACAATAAATGTCCTACTTTAGCTTTCCAGAAGGTGCTTAGCTTAAATCATATCATAATTATAACACCAACACCGAAGACAATTCAAAACTTCCAACTACATGCATCCAATCTCGCTTCAACCAATGCATTCCTACTTCCACTGATCATCAACACAATCTCCTTATGCTTACATTTCACCCATTCAACACACAACATGTATATTGTTTGACAACTTCCACATCACAGCAGGACAATACCATCGGTCACATTTCCTAACAAACCTGTAGTTTCTTATAAACGAGACATTAACATTAAAGATTTACTCATCCACAGTCAACTTTCAAATAACATACAACTATCACCTGCTACTCAAGTTGGTACATACAGTTGTCAAAGGAGCAGATGCAACACTTGCCCTTACATTGATCATAGAACATCTGTTTGAGGCCCAAGATCAATGTATTCTGTGAATAGCCATTTCACCTACATACCTAAATGTTTAATTTATTGTATTGTTTGTAACAACTGTGACCATTTGAGCACTTTAAAGTACTTGCCTTATGTCATGCCCCCCTCCAATACCAATAAAAGAACCACAATTGAAAATGAAATAATTTTTAAATTGGGTTGTTTAAGTCCTTTGGGGATTAACGAATGGTTCAGCTCTTTATACCTTTTTCAATACCCTTATTTTATTATCTTAAAATGTTTAAGTTATTTATTTTCTTTGCTATATAAAGTTGTTCTATATTTCTACCAATTTTTAATACTGTTGTTTAATTTCAAAACATTCTTGTAATTTTCATTAACCAACAGGCTTGTTTCTGACTTGAAAAAAAAGCATTTGCTTGAAATGTTGCCAAGTAAATAAATTACTGCCATAGTTTTAAAGGTGATTTTTCTCTAAAAGTCTAATATATACACACACATACCTGCATACACGTGTGTGCGTGTGTTTTGTATGCACTTCTTTTCCTTTTATATCTATATATTATAACACGCCATACTCCACTCTAAGACATGGGAGCAAGAAGTGGTGAGAATTTTTCTAATACTATTTTGTGTTTTTATGGTTGGTAGGTTTAAATTTTAATTAGTATTAAAATAATTTAATATTTCTTAATTTAAGATTTATAATTTTATTGAAAAAAGGGTTTCTTTTTTTTATGTATTCAAACCTAAGCAATATTTTTATCATCTTCTGTTGTATTACATGTCCTTTTCAAACATAAACATCTTTGGTTTTTTATATTTTAGTATTTTGGCAGAGCATGTTAGACTACCCCCTTTTAAAGGGGTAGATGATCTGTGTTAAAAAAAAAGTTTACTTTTTGTTGTTTTGTCACTTTTTTTCTATTTGTATAGTGTATTAGACTACTCCTTTCTAAGGGGAGGTAGTGACTCATCGTTGAAGTTTTTTAATATGCTATTTCCATTGTTAAAGGTTTTTGCATATATATAAAAATTTATATTTGTGTATTTCATTCCTAAGTTAAAAGGTATTTCATGTATTTCTTCTTTAAAGGTCATTATATGTATGATTTTCATAATTAAAGGGTTTTTTTAATATTATTAATCCTTTGAATGTTTCATTTGCATATATATTTATAATTTAAGACTTGTAAAGGGCAGTTTTATTTTACTGTGTATGGATTTTAAACATAAAGTTAAATTAAATGGTTTTCATTTGCCATTTTTCATAGTAAGATATTGTAGGTGATGTTAAAATAACAAGTAAAAAGTTCTTTTATTTTCCTCCTGCACAATATAGTACATTTTTACATCATGACTAAAATCTCCTTGCAAGAAGTTGAATTGTAAGTAAAAGGTCTATTTTCTTTTTATTATTATAATGAATTAATATTTTTTTATTTTAAAATGTAGTTAAAGGGATTGAATATTATGTAGTTGAGTGTGGTTCTTTGTTAAAGGGTTGTGCTATCTATGTGAGGTGTAACTGTTCGTAAGAACAAAGGAAAGTTGACGTACTTCTTGACCATGTCATGAGATAAACTTTACTTGGCTTAAGTTTAAATGTTGACTTGAGGACAAGCCTAAAACAAACATGTGGGAAAAAGTGTGATAGGCAGGCATATCATTGTTCTTCAACCATCTTGCTCAATCTTTCTTTTATTAAGTGGACCTATCTAATACTTGCACAGAAATCAGTTTATCTGAAAATGGCACATGGCTATGAAAATATTTTATATGCATTTCAATCTATTTAAAAGTTATTTTTGTCAGTTCCATTTTCTATGTTTGAGGGTTGTGGCATATAAGTGTTTTCAGAGGCAAGAAAAAATTAATACACTCTTCAACTACTCTCATTTAATATCATGGCTCATTTATTGATAAATTTAGCTTTCAGATTCAACAGAGTCCAACTGTGTGTGGTTGTTAGTACCTGAAGATGCTCTACTGAGTCTGAAAGTTCTGTTCTAAGCTATATTTTCAATATTATAATTGAGTTTTTGCCAAAGGGAGCTGCTATTCAAGAAGATGATGATGATACACCTAGAAAGTTCATAAATGTAGTCCTAGAATCTAGAAATTTCTTGTACTTGGTAGAAGTGAAAGTTCAGTTTAAATATAAAAATCACTTATTGAGTAGTTGTTGATTGAGGAAAGTTTGATTAAGTTGTTATTGAGTCAGTGCTTCTATCAGCTAATCAGTAAGATAGTTTTGTTATAAATCAAAGGAATTTCTGTTAAATGTTGTTAGTGTATTGGGCCTACAGTAGTTCTGGAGTTTATGTTGAAAAGTATATTTATGAAATGAGGCCCACAAGTAAATGTGGCTATAGTAAGGTCTTATTGAAGAAACAAATTAATTAGTTATCATTATGTGGATTGGATCTTGGATTGTAGAATATGCTGCAATAGCTCTAATTAAATGGCTAAAACCTCAAATTAATTAAGTAGGATCATCCATGAAATTGTTATTAAAATTGTGATTTATCCATTCAAAGTTTTTCATTGAAGGTGAGGTGCAGATTATTTTGTATTTTTTAATATGAGACATAGTGTTTCTTCAGTTTGTAGTTTAAGGGATAAAATTTTTATAGATGATCGTACTTCATTAATTTGGGTTTTTAGCCTCTTTATTAGAACCTTCAGCCTTAACAGGTACTAACAACCATACACCATTGACATCAGTGGGATGTTTTCCACGATTTCCATAATTCATCAACACTAATGTATTTATCACTACCATGGAAACCCTTCTGTCTTTCATAACCATTTTCGTAATGTAGTTCATCTCGTAAGAACTGGAAAATAGTATACAGAATAAGAAATATAAGAAAGAAAATTAGCAATCACAGTCTCATATGTTCAAGAATTACCATCAGATTTGGTACAATATTGAAGTCAAATAGAGTAACTTCATTACAAATATTTATATAAATAGCTGATTAAACAAAAATATTAGATTTACCAAAATTAGTCTGTGCTTACAAGAAAGCTTAATCTTGTTCTTACATACAAATTTAAATCCTAAAATACAAATTAATTTCTTCTTTCTTAAAGAAAAAATTAGTTCAGACAGAATATTTTAGATGCCTCACTTACTGATATTTCTTCTATCACACTCATCATTAATTCCCCTTTATGATAAGCACCATTCCTTTTGTTATACCAATAACTATCTAATATCTTACTATTTGTATGACACTGTGGCATGTTGAACACTTCCATAACTTATCCTTGATCTTTTATATATTTGATGTCAAATTTATAAACTATTCAATTCACCCTATATTGTTGATTTAGCAACACTTTGTTGTAGAGGAGCATAAATACCTAATATAATATACAAGGATAATGAAAAATACTATAAATATACATTTTATGATTCTAGAGGTTATGCAAAGTACAACATGCAAACTGTACAATAGACAAGTGTTATTATTCTTCACATGAATATCATTTTAAACTCCAAATTATCAGAGTCTAAGCCAAACTAATGTCATCAAGTACTTTTGTAATACATATGATCTTTTGTGCACAATAGATTCATACATTTTACTAAAAGCTTGCCATATTTCATACCAAATTCAGAATTATAGCATTTCTTCTCCAAAAGGGGTTGGTTCATTGGACCCAACCCCATGCACATTCATTCATTAAGGAATATTTCATTCTTTCACACATTTGTTGAGGTTAGTCATAGCCTTGTAAACAGAATGTGGATAGTTGTAAACTTACTTGAATTACTGCCTTGGGCAAAGATAACATACCACAGTAGTCACTGAAGAAAATTTCTAATTTCCTGTATCATCTCTCCCTTGTGGTTTCAACTGAAACTAAGAGGTTTGGTATGTGCTAGGAGTTAACTGCCCTTCAATGTAATTTGTAATTAGTTATTGTGACCAGCAATGATTTTTTTAGTGGAAAGGCTGAAGTTAAAGTTTTATCTGTAAATACCACATCTTCATCATTCACCCACTTGTATGGTCTTCTTAAACACACGTTGAAGGTAGTTTCCAGAGATAACAGAAGTGTTGTTCATGAAGTACATTTTAAATCTAAATTCTACTTTGACAGAATTTAAACAAGAAAAAGACTGAACATCAATCTAGCTATTATATCAATCTGTTAATATGTACCACAGTAAGAGAGGGTAGCATTATATAATGGGTTCTTTACTACAATCCCTTTCAGTACCCACATCACTGATGGTCATTCCAACAGAAAAATAACAAAGGGTATAACCTTAAGGTATCATTAAGCTGCCAGTGGGAAAGACTGCTTTCCACCTTTCCATGGCATATTCTACTCTACAGTGTTCTTTTATACAAGAAAGCACATGTAATACAACAGGAGAATAACCCAGAGAAATAGGTAACTGAAACAAAAAGGACTTAGTCACATTCCTTGACTACCATTTTATTGTTCAGATTACACACAACTAGAAACATATATGAGTGAAAATTTGAAAAGCACTTGAAACATTTACCTTACTAATTAAAGAAGGGTAAAATACTAGGTATGTGTTAGCATACAAAATACAGGTGAAGATGGTATAATGTTAATAACATATGTACATGTTAAGTAACTGCTCACTAATCTGTTGTGTCCGTTCAGTAAACTAACTTCAACATCTTACAAGTTTAGCTCAAAAAAGATTTGCAGAACAATAAATATAATAACTAACTTCTTTTTATTATCTTATGGTTTCTATTATTTACTTAAAAGTGACATAAGTTTTAAGTTGGTTCAAAATAATATAAGAGATTATAAAGGTTGAAAAGTACCCCAATCAATTTTGAAAGAGATGTATAATGACAAGATAGTCCTACATTTAAAACACTACAAAGAATTACAATAATATAGTATTATTGTGGGGTATATCTTTTATATTAACTTGTATGTTTGCATTATTGTTTTGTAAGAGAGAATGTTGATGTCATGTGATGAACACAAAATTTAAGGTCTGGAATTTTTTTGAAAATTTAGGAAATGACTGGAAACTGGAAAACTGTGGGAGAAGTGTGTGGAATAATTATTCAGTAAGCCAGTTAGTTACTTCAATGCTATAAATTCTGAGTTTGTATGTTCAAGTTCTCTTAAGTGCATTTATTACTGTTTTTCAGTGTTTGGTTACCTCTTTGCAATTCCTATATTCTGCTTGAGCTCATCCTCAGGCATAGGCTGAAGGTACTACTGAGCATACTAAAGTAAATAAAAAAATAGCAAGCGTGACAAAATAAAGTTTAGATTTTTTTTCTAATGTTAGATGGGGGTTTGCTGACTGCACCATTTGTCCTCAGAGTATCATCTCCTTGTTTTATTACCATCTGTTGAGTCACTAGAGTATTTGCTGTAATATTTAGATTTGCCACATTTATAGCAGTTTCCTTTTACCATCATCCTTTGGGAGAAGCTGTCAGTTCCTACAGCCTTTTCACTCCTGGCAAGATGTCATTTTATGTGGCAGTTGGAACACCTACTGTCCTACAATATATTTCTTTGTAATAAATTGTTTTACTAATCAACCGAGTTCTTTTGGACACCAACCAGAAGGTTCTGGTGTTTCCATTATCTCATTTCTATTAAATTTTATTCTTCCTTTAAGAAGATGTTGTCTTTAAGTTCAATCTGGATTCTATTTTATTTTTACCAAATTAATCACATGCATGACACCAGTGTTATAACTGTTTCTATTTTTGGGCAGTTTATTTTGTTTGGCAAGTTCTTTTGGATAATTCAGTAAAAAGAAGAATCCAAAGCCTAGTCTGTTTAATGACAATGAAAGTGTTTTATTTCTTCTAGCACAATTTCCACATAACTAATATGGGGCCTATATTGTCAAATAAATAATAAAGATTCCAATTACTTATTAATTTTTTGTACATATAATACTTCTCATATTTCTAATACTTCTTTAAAAGCACACATTAAAGAAAAAAATTACAGTGTTCAACTAATTAGCTGACTTAATAATCAATAAACAGTTCCAACAACCTACCCTCAAATAACTAACATTTTTGTACTTTCAAATATTCTTCTAAACTTTCAATAAAATTTCAGAAATTAAACCATGTGACATCAACACTGCATCATGCCAGAAAAATTACAAATGTCTTAAGTAAACAACATAAACAGGCAAAAATATGTTCTGAAGTGTTCTATACATAATGATATAACAGTATTAGGCACAAGTGGCAATTCATGTTGTCTTCATTAAATACTTTGAGAAAATTTAACATCGCAATCACCTTAGTTAAGTTGTTTTGAACTACAGCAATGCAATTTGTGATTTGATTATAAATCACGCTTACTGTGAACATAATGTGACATTGTTCTTCCATTGGCAAGTTCTCTTAAATTATTCGGTGAAAATAACACAAAATTCAGTCCATAAATGATAATAATTTAGTTTATTTCCTTCTTTAAAGTGTAACGTTTCTACAACCTTGGACACTGTGGTAACTTTTAGACGATATTTACAGTTAATGCTAACTGCACTATGCTAGCATAAAGAATAAACTTACTTGTACAAAGCAACTCAATATGTGTAATGGCTAATGTAGATCCAAACACTTCACTAAAAACACTCTGTCAACTAGAAACAACTCTACAATCTTCACAGCTATCTCGTACTTACAGTCTACCATTGAACGTACGTGAAAAGCTTGAAATCAAGTATTTAGAGCTTTCTATTTCTAATTTAACATCATCACTATGACCCGAAGTTCCCTCTAACTAATAAACAAATGTCAACATTAAAAATATAACATAAAACTACTGTATAAGAAACTCTTCTATACTATTTATGTACGATTTTTTTAAATCCTATTATCATTATTTACTTTTTTTTTAATTTACTTTTTATTATGGGTTTAACAAGAATAACTGTATAGCTTTGAATCCCGATCGACCACATACAACAGTAAAGAAAAATGTCCAATATTTTATGTTTAGATTAGCCAAACCGGAACCTCTGCGATTCCACAAATATTCTCCACACTTTAAACAGGATGCGTTATAAGAATGATAGACTATCCCTTAATGTAGATTGTGGGTGGTAGATTGCTGCTGACGGTCTGCTTTCACTCTAGTCCAGTGTTTCTCAGTGTGTGTTTTTTTTTCCACGACACTCCTAACGTGTTATAGTCTAGTTAACAATGGCGTAGCCAAGGTGGGAGGAAGAGGTCCAATAGGTTCCAGATGAAAGAAAGGGGAGAGAGATATAATAAAGCACGGTGGCTTGTAGCAGCAACAACAAATTTGGCAACCTCCATTTTTCTTTTAGTACACAAAAACTTTTCAAATATGTGATGTAGTAATGTATTTTTTAACAATATTTTGCTAAAACCTTGCAGCACCCCGGTTGATAAACACTGCTCTAGTCAGTTGTTATTGTTTCTTGTTGTTGTTTTTTAGCACGAAACTATATAATGGATTATCTGTACTCTTTCCACCATGATGAACTGAGCCCCAGGATTTTAGCTTTGCAAGTTCGTAAACTCACTGCTGGCTAACTGGGAGACCGACAATTTAGTCAGTAGTTAGAAATTAAGGACGGCTGCAGATAGCCTTAGAAGCTTTGCCATAAATACAATTATGTTAGCCATATATACTGATTCTGTACATTTTAAGTGTAAAATAAAAGGCACTGAGTGTGATTTTTTTTTAATAATCTAATGTCACATTACAGAACAAAATTTGATTTCTTCGTAAAATATCTCGAATCAAGATAGAAAGTAAATAAATTTAAATTGAATTTATATAATTTTTTCTTAAAATTAAAAACCAACAAAAACAT